TCATAAAAATTCTTCTACTGACATTTTTGGGAACATCTACCGGATGATCTTTACTCGCCAAACTCCTCAACCTCTTACTGAAGTTAACCGCTGTCCCTGAGTCATTCAGAGCAGGAAGCATAGGAAAGGGAATAGCTCTAGAAGAAGATGATGATTTATCATCTGAATTGGATTGATTATAAGTGTAAGCTTTGTACTGAAGAATTGCTGTTGCTGTGGAATTATCATACGGTGCATTTCCATCGTAAAAGGGAGAAGCAGCAATGTAATACTGACGAGGGGGCTGATCTGCTGTGACGAGCACGTCCATGGTTTGTCCTGGGCCGATTACAATGAAGCTGGTCTTGAAGGGTTTTGTGTAGGACGCGTCGATTCCCACAACTGTAAGCCTGTGATGTGCAATCCCAAAAAAGTGTTCTTCGTTCATCGCAGAATTTATTATCCTAAATAGATATGTCTTCCCGTAATCAACCCATGAATGATACGTTGTTTCTGCACAATTAGTCAAATCAATAAATAGGAATTCAGTTCCATTGTACCCTCTCTCTGATCTTGTAGATTATTAATCTTCCATAATAAATTGATAGTTGTGTGTGAGTGTTAATCACTTTGGATAAAAAGATATAGAATTGATTAGCTATTTTTCAAAACCACTCTTATTTACATAAGGATAAGTTTAAAAAGTAATTTTATTTTTAAACCGTTTTAATGATTTAATGCTCCTCCTTAATTATTTTCAGCAAATAGCTAGAAGTATACTAAAAATCATAAAGAATAGTTGATTTCCAAGTAAACAAGTCCTTATATAATTTGAAATTCATGTTTTGTGTGTGTGTGTGTGTGTGTGTTAAATAAATCATTAAAATTATCTTTAATTTGCTTTAGTTTCATCTTTAATTAATTTATCCCTAATAAATACCATAAATTTGAAAAATATATGCTCTTTTAATTTTATCCCCCCTCATTAAAAAATGGTAAACAAGGAAACTTTCGAAATGATGCAATTATAATTAATACTTCACAAATTTTTGATAAATAACTTATATTGGACCATAAAGCTCTTATAAATTGTAAAAGATTACTTACATAAAGGAGAGGAGGAAGCACCAGAAAATACATCTAAAAAATCAAACATGAACAATAAAGAGATTTGAAGAATTAAAAATTGCCATTTCTTTTAACTAGATAATTTAATTAGCTGTCAAAAGGATAGCTATAATTTCTCTATGAATGTCCTGGAAAGAAAAGTGAAGCCACTCAACAGGATAAATTTGGAAAACTGTACAATAACTCTCTCACATTAGGGAGTCACTGTGAAGTTCAAAGTTGAAAGTAAACGACTTATTAAAAAAGTTGATCATTAATGAGCATAAGTGGTACCTCTTGAACAGTTATAGAAATGTCCAGGTTCACCGTTGATGGTGTAAGCATCAGATGAGTTGGGCTCGCCACCACTTGCTAGTGCTGAAGTTATTATTTGCTGCACGTCCCCCTTGTACCATTCCCCTGCACATTAATCACTTGTAATTATGTTATTTATCAGGTAATCGTTGGCTGAAATTCAACAAAGACATAATGTACTGACCAATGATGAAAGTTTCTTGTGCATGAGGTTGAGGAAAAGGATAAGAGGTTTGATTTACAGGGAAGATGAGGATGGCGCCATGGACGGTGGCACGAGACCAACTACTGTGAGCATGCCACCACAGTGTTCCTTCTTCTGACGTAAATGCCAACTTCTGTCTGAAACTCGTTCCCGGCGGGATCGGGCACTGTGTTATGTTCTCTGGTCCATCCGACCATGGGTCTCTTGGTTCCTTCACCCCATGCCTGTTATGTCAACATCCTCTGAACCATATCACTATCTTACGGTGCATGTTCAAGTGTAAGTAACTTTATCTTAAAGTTAAGTTTAATGATTAATATATAATAAAACAAAATAACCCACCAACTTGAGTTTTAAAGATTTTAGTTCAGACGTCTTAGTGCCCTCTACTACTATTCTCTCCGACCGTTTCATGGGGAGAAATTACTGACCAGTGAATGGTGACCCCATAGCTTCCCTTATTGTGGACGGTAACAAAAGCTGTATCGCCTTTCTGAACGCGAATGGTAGGCCCTGGAAAGCTCCCGTTCACTGTTAATATGCTCTTTGTGCTGCACAGCTTGGTGAAGTTCTTTTCTTCTACCTGTATATTACAATGTAAAAGAAATCTCACATTTAAAAATTAAAAGATAGATCATAAATATATAAATTTATAAAGTATTTAATATAATGGCTAAAGCTATTTTTATAAAACATATACTATCCTTAAACTTATTTAATACAAAAAATCTAATATTGTATCTATAATTTCAAATAATAATAAGTTTCACGGTTCAAAATTTCAACTACGGGAACAATCTCACAACAACATATACATGAACTTACATATTTATATACTTACAACAAAGTATAAACTATCACGCCATGCAAAAATAAAATGAAAAATGAACTTGTGACGAATTCTCACAGTTGGGATTTCAAGACTTACCACGAAATCATAATAATGTACGTTGCCTTGGCTCTTGCCAATAAACATGAACCCCAGAAGAGCTATTAGCAAAGCTTGAATTTCCAGGTGATGTCCCATCCTTGCTTGCTCTTCTTGGTGGCAGTATAGCTAGAGAAAACAAAACACATGGCTTTATATATGTAATTTTATGACAATCAAATTTTGCCATACTTACAAGTTACATATAGGTCAAGTTCTTGGATCTGACGGATTTCTCAAAGGTTTATTTCTTCATCTTCAATTCGTTGCAAATATTATAAAATAGTCACCGCTTTGGTACCACTTTACTCTCTTTCGAAAGCGATGTTTTCTTTGTAATAATGTAATATATATCCTGCTACTTTGCCTAAAGTAGTGTCTACTATGATACATCATAACACGCACTAAAAAATGTAGATCGGCAGTCATTCGTTTGATCTTGTAAAAATTATATTCTCTCAGTTAAAACATTTTTAATTAAATTTTACCTTTTTAATAAAATAATTACTTACTTTCAAATTAATCCTATCTTTTTATATTTACCCTTATTAAATACCTTACAATAAATATAAAATTATTATCAATAAAGGCATTGTAAAAAAAAGATAATTATTACATCTCAAAAGACTAAAAAATATTGTATTTTTTAACATCCAACTCATCAAAAAATATTTTATATTTTTTAATGGAGAGAGTTTGCTGCACAACCAACAAGTCATGCTTAATTGAGCTAGTAGATAGGAGGTTATGTTAGTTTAATATCGTGAATAGTTCCGAGTTTGCCCCCTGAGTAAGTAGTTGCTTTAAATGTTTGTTGGGAGAGTTATTCCTTCAATCTTTACTCAACTGAATTAGTTGAGATCCAATATGATTTTCAAATATTTATTTTTTATGAATATTATTAAAGTTTAAATGAATTGAGTTTCAAATGATTATTAAAGTTAAAATAGGCTTCCTGACTTAAAAAAACACTGAAGAAAATATTTACAAATTACCAATCAACAAAATCCTTATATATTACAGTGAAATTTGAAGGCATGCTCTTATAAGATATGGGAATGGGATGGCGCCTTCACCAACAATACAATCCTTTAGTCTAAAACTAAAATAGAATTTCACCAGAAAAATGTTTAAAACGCAATTCTTTTCATCACTTTTAAATTTTAGTTTCCATTTCATTCCGCATCTCGAATGAGCAATGACCGGTAAAATTGTATGAAAATCAAACTATGGAATTTATTTAAATTAAAACTTTTTTATCTGGGGCATGAAATTATTTAATATTTTATTTTTGTCATTTGATTACACAGAAAAAGGGTCTATCATAACTTTTGACTTTTGAAAAAGGGGCAAAACAAAAAGTGATTTTAGTATCTTTTTTTGGATCAACATTTTACTCGTCTGTGCCTTTTGATATGGAGCAACAACTAGTTATGCTGCTTTGCTTTGCTTCAAGGATTTAAAATCCTTGTTTGCTTTGATGGGGGAACAACTTTGGTCCCCCATCACTCTATTGTGCGTCCTGACCTAATTAACGTTAAATAATAACAAATAAAGTACTAACACACTGAAAATAACACCATATCCAATCACCACTTTTTATATTTAATTACGTGAAGCTGCTTTTAGTAGCGTCTAGGGAGCTACAATATATAAGATAACACGAAAACAAAATAAACAATTAAAGACACGCTAAAATATGAAAACAAGACTAAAAACTGCTATTTGCAACAAAGGGGCCATTTAGTTTTTTTACTTTTCACATTCAAAAAGTAAAATTTTACTTTTAAAAAGTTAAAAATTATTTAGGTGAAATATTTTATAAATAAATATATATTCAAACAGTAACTGAAATTAAATTTTTAAAACGTAACTATTTAAAGTTTTTGAAAAGTGAATTTAAAAAATAAAATGTTATTTGATCATACCACTCTAAATTTAATCTCTTATTTTTTATTTAAAAAATATTTAATTCATTAAAAATATAATAATAATTAGGCATCATGTTTTTGACATTTTAAATTAAATAATTAATCATATTAATTTGTAGTATTAATGTATAATAAAAGTTACAAATCTTTGTCATATTTTTTTAAAATTACAAATTAAAAAAATACAAATAACTAGAGAACAAATTTTTAACATTATATATCAAAATTTATGTTATTTAAAATCTTTATCACATTTTTTAAATATTTTAAATATATTATATTTGTATAATAAAAATTATAAATCATCATAAATTAATATCTTTTTTGATAATTGTACATTTAAAAATACATTTTACTATTACAAATCAAACAACTTTCAGTATACCAAACTGACTTTTAAAAAAATGTATCTAAACACAAATTTCGTTACAATAATTAACTTTCATTAAATTGACTTTAACCAAATAAAATTTCACCAAATGAACTTTTGATAAACTGAAAATCAAACATACACAAAGTGAATTAGAGACTAAAATACTGAATAAAAGACCAAATTATGATGTGAGGAGTTCCAAACCAAAGTAAACAACATGAACACGAACCATTTCTAGTATCACACATTATTGCTCAAACAACCAAACGGAATCAAATTTCTCAGGATTCTCTTCTTTGCCTGAGATCAAACACAGGGTTATTCAATTTCTAGATAATTATACCAATGACTCAAAGAACGATTGATGTAGAATGATGCAACGTCTTCATTTGGAACAAGGAGGCATGTACTTAGGAGGTGGAAGCATCCTTGTTTCGTTGGTTTTTCCATCCTTCACAATCAGCACAGTGTCCATTCCCCAGCTACTGTGCCTCTCAAAATGACAATGCATAAACCATACCCCTGCAAATTAATTCATTTATTGTTCATTTTTCTTATTCATCATCATCAATGAATCAATACACATACATCTATATAACAGAATCTGTATTATTCATGAGATGCGAAAAATATGCTCAGTTTGTAGACCCCATGTAACGTGTGGAACCCATAATTTTTTTTTATATAAAAAAAATCTGTATATGTCAATGTACATGCGCACTCAAGTTAATTATATGAGTTCTATAAACATCCATTATCTATTGGCCTAATCCAAAGAGAATCAAAATTCGTAAGTCATAACTTGAAGAGCTGCATTACAATTGTTTTAAAGACTAAAGTTACTACCGAATATTTCAGGAATTCTTAAAAGTACCACAAATTCTTTAAATTTGTAGTTTTTAAAAAAAAAATTGCTAATAATTTTTTGATGAAACTAATTAGTTTTCTTAACACTGTAAAAAGTCCAATAAAACCTCCACTTAAGTTTTGTCCTTAAAAATAATTATGATTTGTTATTTACTTCCCAACGCCGGGGAAAAACAAAGGTCAGAGACTCTTCAGAAATTTTCTTGGGCTGCAGTCTGTAGAGATGTTTAAATTAATATGGAAAAGCCGCTGGGGATTCAGATAATTCCCTGTAAAATATCGGGCAGTAATTTTTTTGAAAGTACGTCGGCATGCAAATGAATGATAATTTAACAAACATACCGGGATTGTTGGCGACAAATCTCATAGCAAGCCAACCATTCATGGGAAGACTAACAGTGTTAACTTCTGGAGGATCAACGAGGTTATAGGATTCAGGATCGGTCTTATTGTTGAAAACTCCCCAGCCTTGTCCCACAACATAATAGCTGAATCCATGGAGATGCATTGGGTGATTCTCGGCAGTATTCAATGAATTATTCGTTCCTTGCCACACTACCTCTACAGAGTCATTGTAGTTCAGCATTATCACCCTCGTTCCCGTGGTCGTAAATGCGTTGTTGTCAGGATCTGTGAAGTTGATATAGTTTGGAGGCTCTTTCGGGAAATCTTTAGTGAAAACTCCTGTCTTGTTCCTGCAAAATGAAACAACCCATGAATTATTGTTTTTGCGTAAGTGCAACACAAACTGTGACCTGTGAGAATATCGATGGACGGTGTATATAAATACTGTACGTACCAGTAGTAAGCGTCCAATATATCAATACTCGGGGTCTGAAACGACACGTTGTTCAAACTAGCCGCAAGCTTGGTGGTGCTGTCACAAGTACTAGCATTGCATGCAAGAACATTCACAGCGACCGTCATATAAATCATCCTGTTCACTGTCTTTGGAACCTCAATGGGGTGACTCTCGCTCCCCAAACCCCTCAACCTGTTGGTGAAGTTAAAAGGAGCAGTAGAATCATTATGTTCAGGAAAATCTGGGAACGCCATTGGAGGATGCTGAGAAGCATTGGAGCTTCCACTGTACTGCAAAATGGCTGTGGTTGTGGTGTTATCATATGGAGATGAGCCGTCTTGGAAGGACGAGGCGACGATGTAGTAGAGACCTGGTGTCTGGTTAGCCTGGAGCAGAACGTCCATGGTTTGGCCTGGGGTGATCACGAGGTAAGGGGTGGTGAAGGGCTTGACGTAGGCTGCGTCTATGCCTACGACTGTGAGTGAGTGGTTTGTGATTCCGAAGTAATGGGCTTCGTTCATGGCGGCGCTGATTATGCGAAGGAGATAGGTTTTTCCTTGCACCACTGAAAATCGGTGTGTCGTCCCTGCAAAATTTTCCCGTGTTATTTCCGACAACATGAAATGATATGTACTGCAATATTGATCTTTATCACTACTTCTGGAGGATTTTCAAATGATCTAATTTTTAAGTACTTTTTAGTGAGTGATCGGTCGCCTAATAATATTGGTCAAGTTGATCAGTTTTTTACATCGTGACGTTACCGTTAGAACAAGCATACAAGTCTCCAGGTTGGCCATTAATGGTGAAAGCGTCAGAAGTGTTTGGTTCTCCGCCAGTGGCCAAAGCGTCGTCTATGATTGTCATCACATCTCCCTTGTACCACTCCCCTACATATTGTTTTCAAAATGGTGATTAAACGAAGGTTTAATTTGAGAGAGGGATTTAAATACAGTATTGAAAGACGAATTAATGTAGAAATGGAACATACCAATGATGAGGGTTTCTTGGCCATAGGGCTCGGTGAAAGGATAAGAAGAGCCGTGAGGAGGATGGATGACAATGGCTCCATGAACAGTGGCACGAGTCCAGTCACTGTGAGCGTGCCACCAAAGTGTACCTTCTTCGTATGCTAAATTGATTCTCTGGGTGAAGTTTGTTCCTGGAGGAATAGGGCACTGTGTTATGTTCTCAGGTCCGTCTGACCATGGATCGTTTGGTTGCCTCACCCCATGCCTGCATTTTCATGTTGCGTTGTACTTACTGATATGAAGTAAATATTTTAAAAAACATAGAGAAGATCAACACGTAGTGTTAAAAAGATGAGTAGAGATCCATTTAGATCCTTCTTCTGGTGGTTTTTGAAATGATAGATCGTTATTGTTAACAGTTTGAGCTTGAAAACAAGTTTGTTGATTCTGCGCGGCTTCATACGTATATAACTCATGCTGATCAAATTATAAACAACTCGGTTGTTATTTTCCTGATACTACTAATTATTTCTAATAATTACAATGGATTAGGTCAAAAATGAAATGAAGGAATCGGATCCGTGTTTTGGGAAGCTGTAAAATAATAATTCGCTTGTGGAAAAATGAGTACCAGTGGATGGTAACACCGTAAGTTCCATGATTGTGGACAGTGACAAAAACGATATCTCCTTTGTGAGCAGTGATGGTAGGCCCTGGAAAGCTACCATTCACCGTCAAGATGCTCTTCGTGCTGCACAGCTTCGTGAAGTTCTTCTCTTGCAGCTGTAATCCATCTCAAGTATAATAATTAGCATCCGATCCACAGTTCGCAATAGTTAGCTAGCTAGTGTAGAAAAAGCATGTGTGTGTGTGTGTGTGTGTGTAATGTTGTTTAGGATGTGGCCAACAACAAAGCTAGTTAGAGATTAGAAAAGGCAAAGTAAGCAAAAGCGTGTATATATATATATATATATATATTAGCCCAATATTCATCCTAATTAATCTTTAATTAAGAATATTGCCAGAGTATATATTTATTCTCGCGTATGGACGAACTTACAACGAAGTCATGGTGATGAACAGCGCCTTGAGCCTTACAAAGAAGGACACCCAAAATGACCAATATGACACTCATCTCTTTCCCTAAATTCATTTCTCCTTCCTCGTTCCTTTCTTTCTCTCTATGTGTACATGACTTCTTCACTTCATCATAAGACTAATATATATAGTAGCTTATCTTGGCCATCCATTTGTCAATATTTTAACTGCTCAATTATTTAAAATATTTTTTCACATCTAAACGTTAATAATCATTTTTTTTGAGTCATGAGCACTAAACTCACGTGATTAATATTTTAATCCCTACATGCATGCGCGGTACAGCATCATTTCTTTCTTTAATAGTTGCGTATTCTTTACTATATATGTGCACGTTGCTGGCTGCTTCAACTTGGAGCTTTATCCGGTCAAAAAAATTTTCTAAGCAAATTAGCAATAATTAATTAAGGTTTCTTATTTTTTTAAATTTGACATACGTTATCTTATAGATTAAATAATATATGAAGCATAAAACATTTTGGATGTAGAGTCAAATTTTTTGATAATAGAGCCACTGCTTCAACTATAAACCTCGTCAGAAGCGCGGGCCTTCTTTTTTATTGTTCTTGTGATGACAGACTCAGAACCTGTTAATTTTTTCTGGTTTGTATTTTTGCTGTTTTGTTTTGTTTTGTTTTGTTTTTTCTTTTTCGGTGAGTTTTGTGTGGTAGGTTGTGTATAAGTTTTTTTGGAGTATTTCTTTTTGCTTCGACTATTTATGCGTGTACTATTTTGTTATTAATAAATGGGTTCGTTTTCTTGGGAGGGGGGAGAAGCATATGCCTTGTAAAAAGTAGCTCTAGCATTTCAAGATTAATTTTAGAAAAAACATAATTTTGAATTTATGTACTTTGTTGAGTTTTGTTATAAATTTTTATATTTTTTTATTATTTTAGTTCTCTATATTTTTATTTTTTAGTGTTCTAGCTATATCCTGTAACATTGCTCATGAAAAAAATTTAAAACACTAAGAAACAAAAATATATAAACCTAGAATATCAAAAAAAAAAGTGTAAAAACATATGGCAAAATTTGAGTAACTTGCAGAAAAAAAAATTATATTTTTCCTTAATTTTATTAATAGATGATGGTATTAAGTATTAACCGATTTTTTTTTTCTTTGAGTTTTATCAATGACGTCTGTAAAATAAGGAAAATAATTAATATGATAATATTGTAACGGCTGGCCAGGCCAAGAACATGTAAGATTTTAATCTAGAAGTCCTGCTTCTAGGAGAGACCGGAAAGTGATTAAGAAATCAGAAGATATATAAAATTTGATTTCTCTAGCTAACCAGACTTATTAAATATTTTTTTACTTTAATTAACTGGACAAACACCTCTGTCTTAAAATTGATTTAGTTATAACTAAGGAGCATGCAAGTCAAATAGTCAATGTCTAATTATCTACATGGGTAGCATAAGACATGATAATAAGTAAAAAGACTCAAGCGGTTTTTTTTTTTTTAGGGTTCATTACATCAATCTAAAATTTTACTTATAACCATATGTGTTTGAATCAGTTGTTAAATATGAAATGAGAGGTTTGACTTAATAACTCATAACTTCATAATTTCTGAGACAAAATTATTATAGTATTGATTTAGTTAAAATTATGTTTCAATCAAAATCAACTTATTTTCAAATACACGCTCCACTAGCTAATTATAAAATTTAAGGATTTAGCCCAAAATTCCAAACTCACAAGATCATGGGTTCATCCAATCCTACTAATAATAGGAAGAACTTCTTGATGGCCAATTTGTAGTAATTACTTTTGTATTTTCCTTTCGAACCTACGGACATGTGCTAGTTTATAATTGATTGACTGTTAGTTACTCCCTCCATTAAAAAAATAAGATATTTTTAATTTTTAATCAAATCTCAACTCTAATAAATAGTTACTTACTTTTTAACTAACCTTATCTTTTTATATTTACTCCTATTAAACACCTTACAATAAATATAAAGTTATTATTAATATGGGTACTTAAAAAAAGTAATAATTATACATTAAAAAATTAAAATGCCTTAACGGAGAGAATAGATGCTATGGTGAAACATGGGACTTAGAACAGCAAAGGCATACATTATTTAGAATGCAAAATTATAAAAAATATTATTGAAAAATGAGTTAAGGGTGTTCAACATTATAAAACTAGCGGGGACGAATATTAAAAGGGTGAGAAAATATACCTGTAAATCCTTACAATTTCAATCAATTTTGATTTAGGCCCTTGTATTTAATTTTATTTTAATTAGTCCTATAACTTGATCATTAATTTTTAAAAGGAGAATTACATATAAGTCTCACTCAACACACAATAATTACTAACAAATCTATTGATGACTGAGCCCTGAGAATAACAAGTGAGCAATTAATTATATTGAGTGAGACCTTAAAGTAATTTTTCTTTTTAATCCTAAAGGTTAAAATCCTTAAAAATTTTCTTAAAAAATAAAATTAAGAACTTTAATATTTTTCTTAAATGCTTGTATTAATTTAGAATTAATTACATAATTTTTATAACTCAAAAATAATTTGGTTAGTTGTTGTTCGAAATATTTTTGTGTACATAAGAATTTCCATTACAAAAAATTAATAAAAATATGAACAACATACTAAGTCAAATTTTATTTTTAAATTTTGTTAAAAGAATTAAATTAAGTTCTTTGTAAACTCTAAGAATTTTTGGTTTGTAAAATTTCAATTATTCATTATAATTTTAAACATTCAAGATATAATATATATATATATAATAATATATCAAATTATAAAGATTTAATTAAATAAATAAATTATAAGAACTAATTTTAAAATTAAATAAAATTATAAAGACCTTAGATCAATTTCCCTTCAGAACTTGTGCAGCAAGTTGTAAATTCTGTTAGGGATGAGGGATTGCTAAGCATCTGACAGCTAATAAAACAAGAGGCTTGTCGGAATTTCCTTCGCCTAAGCAATTGTTGAGTGAAGGATTCACAAACAAACAAGAATTATTACTGTCGTTCACCACTCCGATTCAAATATTCAATGAGGACAACTTGCAGGCTTGTACTACGAAGATTCCACTGTCCCACACTTGCCTGTAATTCGTTTCCCACGTTTCAATTTTATTATATTTTAATTTAATTTTAACGTTCACTGCAGATGATTAGCTGCTGCCTTGGCATAGTTCAGAACTAACAACAGCCCCCTCCCCCCCCCCCCCAAAAAAAAAAAAAAAAAAGAAAGGGGGTCCTCGTTAACTCGATTTCTTTCATTTCCACCACCAAACCACTGTCTTTATTATTTCCAAATCATTGTTGGTTTGAGATCATGACATGTCAAAAATTTTAAATAATGTTATTACTATATACTCCAATCCCTCATTATATATAAAATAGTTTTAATGAAATACATAAAATTAATAAAAATTATTTATAATTAAAAACAATAATATATTAAATTTATTCCTAATTATATAAATAAAAATAATTTTTTTCTTTTAATATAAAGTAATAAGAGTATTTATCTTTTTCTCTTTCTAATTTAATAAGAGTAGAATAGTCCATTCATTAAAAAATATACCAACAACCTCTTAATTTTAAGAAGAAAAAATATGTTAGAAAATTGTTTATATAGAAGGAGAGAGAGAGAGGTGTGTACCAATTAAAATACTTTCATTTAATGCCATAAATTAACAAAGGAGCAGGAAAAATGTCAATGAAAGAAAAAGGAAATGAGAGAATTTTAAATAAGGATAAGAGATGTAACATAATTATTAGTGGGTCTTAAAAATTTTTGAAATCTTTCAGTCAGTCTAGAGGAACAAAAGTGAAGCTAAGCCCAACTATAAAAATACTAAAGTACCATTCATTGATTATGTATAATCGCTAGTTGTTTTAATTTTTTGTACTTTATTATTAAATTACTGATATGAGTTGCAAATTACATGAATTACTATGTCAATAATTATATAAAACTTAGTATCAATTGCTCAATCATATTGGCAATATCAGTATAAAATAAAAATTAACTTTATTTATTAATTTATTAACATCATTTGTAAATTACTGACAAGTCTTGTAATTCATTAACATTAGTTATAAATTTATTTAACAAGTAAAAATACTAAATTAACAACTAATATCACTACTTATCTAACAAATAGATGTAATTTGCATGTGATATTGATAAATTAATAAGTGAAATAAGAACATTAATCCTAATAATTATGCATCACAAGTGAAAGGTAATTGGTCTTTTCACATTTGAAATCATTTTTACTTTCATCCCCCTAAATTGAATTAAAATTGTAGAATTTTTTAAAATTCACTAGTAACTAAATCACACTACCGATCCTTATTTAAAATTATCCCAAAAGAATATACATAAAAAAGAGGTGTTAATAACCAATAAGAAAGAAATACTCCACGAGTTATATGGTTATGTGTGTAAATCACTTTTTATAATTAGGATAAGCGACTGAAAACGAAAGAGATATGTGATTTTTTAAAAAATGTAAGGTATTTTATTTTTTAGAGGATTTAAACTTTTTTCTTACTCATGTGGAAATTAGTTTATTATAATTTATTCTATCCGTAAAAATATAATATATTTTTAATTAAATCTCGTCTCCAAAAAGTAATTACTTATTTTTAAACCAATCCCATCTTTCTTTATTTATATATGAATTTTTAATTAACTGTTGATTTCATACATAACGGTTTGTGATTTAATAAATATTGTTATTCTTATTTGTTTATTTAATCTTTTTGACTTGTTAAGTTCAAATATTAAAACTGCTTTGTCATTGAAAATTTAAATGTTCTTGTTATTGAAGTTATATAGAACCTTTATTTAAGTTTATAAATTTTTTTACATTGAATTGCTCTCTCATTTAATTTTATATAACTATTGTATTTTTATTCATTTTAATTTTGAAAAATATATGTAATATGACATTCATCCTAAAAAAA